AGTTCTGTGCACTATGGGACAGACACAAATACCTTAGGATTATGGAGATGGAAGGGTCCTGCTTCTTAATTAGTGGTTTCTGGGCTTTGGGCCAATTCTAACACCCCCGCCCAACATTTGAGGGATCAACATTGATATTCCAGTTCTTTATTCTACCAAACAAAAGGGTTACACCTATCTGCTATCTCCTGCCATCATTATTTCATAAAATAAATGACATTTTAGTATCAAAAAAGTGAAAAGGACAAATTAACATACAGTCTATTTAAATGAATGCAAACAGGTATAAAATGGCCCTATATTTTTTCATCTTTCAATGGACTATGAAATATTTCTCCACAGACTGGTGACTGAGAAGAACTGATTCAGGGCAAACCATTAATTCACAAATGAGAATTCTGAGGTGAAGTGATTTGTCAAAGGCAGTACAGTCTGTCAGCTACAGAGTTGGGTCCAGAACCTGAGTCCTTTCACCCCCGACCTGGTAATGGGGTCATGAGGGAGGGACAGCACACTAACAGTTCAATGAAGGAGAGCTCATCCACAGCTGAAAATCGTAAGGAATGTTATAGGGGGAAATGTAAGGAGGATTTGTATTTGTACTGAACTTGAAGAGCGGGAGGAATCTAGACAGATAAAGAGGAACGAAGAGGTCACTGCAGGAAAGACAACAGCACAAGCAAAAACAAAGTGGCTACAAAGTGCAAACCACAGTAAAACTCAAACTAGACTGCTGAACTCATGGATGCGTGGTTAAAACTAATGGAAAGTGAGCCTAGAAATCTAGCTGGGTAACTAGCTACAAAGGACCTTCACAGGGAGACATGGAACCTTGGGCTTTACTCCCTTGGGCACTGGGGAGTCATGGACAATTTTTTTTTTTAATTTTTTTTTTTTTTTATTTCTAGGAGAGAGAGAGAGAGACAGTGTGAGCTGGGGAGGGTCAGAGAGAGAGGGAGTCACAGACTGAAACAGGCTCCAGGCTCTGAGCTGGCAGTCAGCACAGAGCCCGACGCGGGGCTCGAACCCACGAATCGTGAGATCACGACCTAAGCGAAAGTCGGACGCTTAACCGACTAAGCCACCCAGGCACCCCAATCATGGACAATTTTTAACAGAGAAATGATGCAATTGGAGCTGTGCTCTAGGAAGACCCATCATCCCTCAGCAAATATATGGGATGGCTCATGAGACATTAAGCGTGCAGTCCAGGTAACTCAGCTGGGAGCTGTCACCACGGCCTCAGCTGGAGGGAGAGCAGGTCCTGAACAAGGGCAAAAGTCACGAGATTAGAAAGTAGAAAATATTCCACCAGTAAAAGCAACACAGTTTAGTGGCAGATGGGACGTGTGGAGAGTCAGGTGTTTGGCTGACAAGACGGAAGCCAAGAGGAGATAGGCCTTAACAAAGGAGAGGGCTAGGAGGGGTAACAAATAAATAGTATTGCTTGGAATATTTTGTTTGCCAGCAACAAAACACCAAGTTCCTGCCTTTCCAGTGTGGACTTGCTACAACTCTGTTGGTCTAGACTGTTGTGGAGGTTAAAAATAGTTGACAACGGGCATGGAGGAGGACACTTGTGGGGATGAGCACTGGGTGTTATATGGAAACCAACTTGACAATAAACTATAAAAGAAAAAATAAATTAAAAATAGTTGACAGACACAAACATTCTAATAATTTTTAATACTTGTGTGTGTTGATTGCCTCTGGTTGAAAACAATAAATTGTTTCCAACCCTCATAAAAAGCATGCATAAAAAAAGAGGGAGAAATTATTATTTCAGAGCTAACACAGAACTTAGAAAACATAAGCCAATTGCTCATTTTCTTGAAGAAGAAATCGAAGCCCAGAAAGAAAATACCTTGCTCAGAGTAACATAGGCAGCTAGTGGGACTTAGGAAGAAAACCCAGATCTCCAAATGCCTAGCCCGCTGCTGCCCTTCCCTATCCAGGAAAGGATACTGCCTGAATCTGACCAACTGAATAACATTTCACTTCAATTCCATTCCATCCATTGTCCTTCCCTCATTGCATTCCTGAGAACAGTGAGGATCCCCCCTGCCCCCACTGACTTCTCCTCTTTCCTCTCACCAGTCCTCCTAACCATTCCCTTAAAAGAAATTCATGAGGTAAATACTTTTGCCATAAAATATTAATCGTTCTCATTCAAGAAAGTTGAGGGAGATAAAAACACAGTAGTAGGTGATACAGCTCACAAAGGAGAAGTTTCTGCTACCCGGCATCTTCATGACAAGTCTGAAAATTATTGCTAGGTAACAGGATGCAGACCCCGAGATTCCTGGGGGAAGGACCTGAGGTCAGTTTGCTTTATTAGGAGACACTGTGCTATGTGAAATCATATCTACACAGCCAAAGGGAATGTTAAATAACCGTGCTTGTTGATGTATTCAGGGACTTGTTAAACAGGCAAAAGCTGTTATCTTGATTTCAAACTGCGCAGAATTGAGTACGTGTGACTCATCTATTTTGAATGTCAGCACATCATGAATTCACCAACATGACAGAACAAAAAGATCAAAGTAGTTACCTCTTGGTTAAAATACCCCCAAGAGCCAATGCAGATCCTCCAATTCCCAACGATCCACTTTCTCCTTAACGAGCAATCTAGTCTGTAAAATTGCCTCTGCTCGCCACTCCCCTTCATGCCTGTACAGACCCAGATGTTTACCAATTTAGGCGGACTGCTATGAATCTGATGCCAGGTTTGCGTCAGAGACTTTACGCATGTTCCCTCATCCAGTCATCGTCACTAACTCGATGAGGCCAGGACATTTTCAGACCAGGAAACACCAGGGAAAGGGGTTAAGAAACATGTTCAAGGTCATACTGTTTATCAGTGGAAAGGTCAGATATCAAACCAGGTATGTCTGCTACCAAATGCCATCAACTTCATCATGGTGTCCTGCCCCCCAACAAACCACCACTGCCCCCACCCCAGTCCAGAAAAAGACCAAATATTTATACAAGTGGAATGCACTCAGACATGGGGACACTATATAGGAGAGAAGGTAGAAAAGTGCAAGGGATTTCAGGCATCCATGCTGGCTCTTCTTTCATTTTCACAGGGAGTTGTACTTTCTAGTTTCAACTTGGGTTACAGTACTGACCTTCTTAGCCTCTACACCCGATCTCGGCAAGGCAGGAGAATGTTCTTTCACCAGTGTTCTCCTTTGCTCTATAAACTAAATTCTAACGTTGTAATATTTGTTGCCACAGTCTCTGCCTTTATGAGAAATGAATGATGAAGATGATGGCTGACTGTTTTGGAAAAAAGCTCCATCCGTGATTCAGAGAACTTAGACTCGTGTTCCCCCTCTCCTGACAACCTACAGTTAATCCCAAGGTTTCAGTCGCTCCAAAGGGCATGTCCATATTGCTGCTCTATCTTGTGTCAGAGTTTGAAAAATATTTTGATTATTGAAGTTTCCTGTAAGGACCCTCCATGGCCTCTGCTCTTTTACTATCTAAGGAATTTCAGAGGGTTCAATAGTTTTTAAATAGCACCCAAAACAAACTAAAACTCCTCCTCTACTTTATATCTAATGTGGTACCCACAGGGAAAATCTAAGGTTGGGAATGCTTTAGAGCTGATGAGAAAGGCCAGCAAGCATATAGTACTGTCTACCAGACTAAGGCGTTGTTATATATCAGATTCCTCCTGTGTCAAAGAACATCTAAAGAGTCTTATCCAAACGCGCTATGAAAGACCAAACTATTCTTTCTCTATGAACCAAAGATTATATCACTCACCTTCACTTGCCTGGCACATCATAAGCACTCAATAAATATTTAGCAAATGATTATTTTTCCTCTATTTCTTTCTTGGTCAGAGCACTAAGCATAGTATCCAAATATGAAAGGCATTGAGTGTTGTGGTAGAAAGTTCATTTTGCTCCAAGCAGGACCAAAAGAAAAACACGCAGGCTTTCAAGCAAAATAAACAAGTAAAAACTCTTATTTGCATAAAAGGAGTCCCTGCAGGATCCTATTGATTAGACAAATTGTCAAAAGATGAAATTCGGTCTAATTTACAAAAATGAAATTCACGTGCAACTGTTGGGAATTGCATAAAATGAGATCACTTGTAAATGCATCTAGTCACTCCTCAAAGAAAGAACATTGTCTGGAATGCCCACAATGATTCCAGACTTGCCACCTCTCCCCCTCTTCCCACATACTTCCCCCATTAGTCTGACCAATTTTTATTTGTGTCTCAACATCAGAGAAAGCATCAACTCTTCCAAGAAAATGTCCCTCGTTCCCCAAACCCAAAAGCACCCCTTCCACATCTCCGTCATTAAATTACTCCATTTTATCATTATGTATTTAGGTGTCTTTCATTCAACTAAAACTCTTCATTTCTTATGAAGAAATAAGTCTTAATCTGCTTGATTTCCCTACTAACCTTGCAATATTGAAAGTTCTCAAATATTTATGAGATGAATGAGCATATTGCCGACATAAAAACACAGATGTTAGGGTGTGGCTGGTGATCACACAGAGGTAAATTTAGTCTGATAGTGTAAATGGAAGCAGTGGGTCTTCAATGGAGTTTGAGAGGCTGGATGACTTTGATGTAGCCGATGCAGGGATACACAGAAAATTGCAGAGAAGAGGGAAGGAAGGAATCAAACCTTGGTACTTGCAAAGGAGTTGCAAATGGTGAAGAACATTTGCCAGAATGCAGGAGAGATAGTGAACACGGGGACAAGTACAGAGAGACATGAAAATGCCTTAGGAGATTCGCTCCTCCTGGTCAAAGATTTTGTCTTTGATCTAAATCTAGACTATACCAGCTGCTACCAGGCATCATGGCCCTGTCATCACCAACATGGTGTTTGCACAGCAAGTCTGGCATCTCTCATTCTCAGCTCTTCAGTATCATGTAGAAGGACTAAGTCTTTCTTACCAAAAGCATGGGGATAAGCTCCTTTAAAAGCTGATGCAGCAGGAGACTCTCAAAGGCAGCCTCTTACCTGCTGGTTCTGGTAGGCTGTGACCGTGGTGAATACGGTCTCAGGAAAGTTGAATGTCTTCACTCCATCCCCAACAGGGACAGGTTTGGTGGGTGACAGGTCACTGCTGAAATCCTTGCGGATCACGTGAACTCGGGGCTGGTATTTGTGCATAGAGTGCAGAATGATCTGAAATGAGAAGGGGCAGCATTATGCCAGGGTTGCTCAAAGGTCCCTTCATCTTTTCAAGCTCTCAGGCAAATTCAATCGCAGGACAGAAGTGTCATAGGAAGAACAGAGATGGGCTGGGATGTGCAGGAAACTGGAAGTCAGTGTTGTTGCCCACGGCAGGAAGGACTAAGTGACTGGATAGCACTACACGGAACCATAGAGCAGAGTACCCCAGTCACAGTTGCTGATGTTGTACACTTGCTTTCACTGGACAATACTGAACAACTGTCCCAATACCAGAAGACGACACTCCACTAAAAGGTCTCAGACCCTCTGCTACGTGACAGCTGCTCCTTCCTGCTCTAAATGTTCATCATGGGCTCATGCTGCCTTTAAATACTATAAGCTATTATTTGTACTTTGTTACTAAATTTATGGACATTCCTTATGTCCTATGAGAGTGAATGGTATGCCTCAGAATATCGTCATTTCCATAAAGATAGGGGCCATGGTCTTCCTGCTTCAATCTTTCTGCAGCACCCGGTATGGATCCTGGCATCCAGTGAAAGTTCTAAAGATAAATTAATAACATCAAGTGCTCTAATTATACCTGGAAAGTCTTAAGACTTAGTCCTCTCTTAAAAATGCATAAAAGTCTTGACAGATCAGCCCAAACTGTCACGTTAATTGTTTCTCTGAGTTTATTGCCCTCTGAGGTATTCCACTGAAAGCTGCGACCTCTTTCACATGTCCTGTGCTACTGTCTTTAAACTCTCCCCTGACTAGACTTTGGGTCCCTGGAGCACGAGAACTGTGTCTGGTAAACCCAGCCTGATGCAGATGTTTGCTAAATGTCAGATTTGTAATAAACGAAATTTCAGAGGAGGAAAAAAGAACTTTTATGATGACTTACTTAAAATGACTCAAAGTGGCATAGAGATTCTTATTTACACATTTGGAAAACCCTGGGACTAGTAAGCTTGAGATCCAAAAGAGAGGAAGAGAAAGATGGATGGAATTCCTTGACTCACATGTCCTTGATCATCCAATTCATTGTTGGTCAGCTTGAGTTTGTCGAAACTGACCACCTGTCTCATCCAAGTGTCTCCAGAAGCTAGAGAATCAGGGTGTATATAAACTCTTGGGGGCACAGGGGAGTCCGCATTGCCAGCCACCATCCACTTGGAGCTGTGGTACACATATCTGAGGCAGAGAGGGAGAGAGGAGAAATCAGAGACAGATACAGAGGGATGAGAGGCCCAGGAACCCAGTAGACACAGGAGAAGGGAGAGATGACATAGGAGACACAGGAGAGGGGACAGATAACAAGATTGAAAACAGCAAGGATTAAACAGAGAATACAAGGGAGAAAAAGAGAAGGGGAGATAACCAGGGACAATCAGATAGTGATGAAAATGGAGAATGAGGTGGGGTGGGGGAGGGCAGCAAAGTGTTGTGGTTAATGATCAAAGCTGCAGCCCTCACAAGGAAAACATTCTCACAGTCCTTTTTCTTTCTTCTCCCTCTCCTTGACTTGCACCCCTGCGTGCGCACAGGCATCCTGAACCCACGTGTCTCGCTATGGAAAAGGTATTTTACTGCAACCTTTCACCTTTCAAATGCAAACCATATAATCCGTTGGCCACTTGTTCAGGATTTGGTTCCTTATTAAAAACATCTTCCATATTGTCCTATAAAACACAGCCATGTGCAGAGACCCTCTGAGCCTCTCATTTGTTAACCCTTTCCTTGCTGAGAATCAGAATTTTGAGGCATATTTGTGAAAATAGAGGGTCTTCGCCTTAGTGCAAACATTTCCAGAAACTCTACCAAGTCTTCCCAGTCAGTGCTGTAGTGTTTCTTGGATGAACCCAGTTTTGAATGCCATCATCATCCACATTATTTCCCACAAAGCCACTGAAAGTAAGAGACATTGTTGGTAGCAAAGGAGGTCAGTTTTCCAGAGTCTGCCAATTGCCCTATAGTTTTGAAGAGAGCTCTCCATGGATCTGGCACTTCCCTGCCTTTCACTTAAAAAGGACTATGTGGGACACAGACCCTAGCAAACAGAGGCACTCAGTCCAAATCACAACTCCCAAGATCCTCTAAGACAGATCAGAAGCATCTCCTGTCCTAAGTCCTGCATCTAGATCACTTCTCTCTCAGCCAGCTCTCTCCCTCTACCATACTAGCCCTGGTCTTCCTCCATTCATTCATCTCTCACCTCCTAATTAATGGGTTTAGGGCCAAGGACTCAAATATTTTGAAAATGACTCATGATTCACTGATTTGATTGAAATCTCAAGAGATTGATTATGCCACAACTTGTTTTAAATAAGAACTACATAAATAAATAAATAAATAAATAAATAAATAAATAATTAAATAGAGCTACATGTAAGCCATCCAAGAAATACAGACATTGTATTGGCCTTTAATGAATTTGAAGGAAAGTTATTTAACAAACTTGCTCACAACCCATATTGATAAACAATAATTCGCCCTAACTAAATATCATTCTTGAAATCTTACCCATTTCTCTTCTTCTTGCCCTCCCTCATCCACAGGGCAATCCATTAGTTACATGACTGAATATACTACATTGGTCCACTTCTCCTCCACCTCTCCAAAATAAATCCTCTCAATTCATTCAGCATTTCATAAACCAAATCATTCAATATGTTAATCACTTTCAATGTTAACTGAATTAATTTTAGATTTAATATCCATTTGAATTTTGCAACCCTTGCAGACACTATACAATCTCACTCTTTCCAGAAATATGGGAGGATTCCAGACTAAACCCTTATGCTACATCCTGATTTCTAACCACTAGTGACCACTTCCTGCCTGGTGCTCTGCTCCTGGTTATTGATTTATCCTCTATCTTTGTTCTCTGTTTAGTGTATAGTACAGTGCACTGCTAAAATGCTTCATCTAGTGATTTTAAGGAACTGTCTTGGAATGCTGGTGATGGTACCCCAGAGTCATCATTACCTGTATCTTTTATTGTCCACAGGTACAATGTCCATTGCTATGTAGTACTGCTGGTGTGGGTCCAGGCCAGTGATTTTTACTCTCATGGCAGGAAACATCCTCCTATGAAGGGGAATAGGCAGTAAGCTCAACAATGAGAGGGGGAGAAGTAGCCAGAGTAAAAGCTTAGGTCATCTCTTCTTAAGAAGAACTCTAAGCACACCAAAGTCCAATTCTTCTAATCCTCAAAGTTGGCTGCTTTTTTACACTTTGGAAATTATTGCTATAAAATATGCTGAGGATTCATTGCTGAAATAGTACATCTTCTTAACTTAAATTGACCTATTTGATGATTCATACACTCCAAATGCTCATACCTACCTTGATTTATAAATTAGTTCATCTTTAATGTGATTAGACAGATAGATAGATAGATAGATAGATAGATAGATAGATAGATAGACAATGTGTGCGTATCTACACATACATTTCTTATTAGACCATAACACCCTTGAAAATACCCTCTTACACTTAATGTACTTGAATAACTTATGCTCTTATTAGTCAAGTAGCTTACCACAGTTGATTGTAGGTGATCATGAAATAGTTTTTGATTGATTGAGTCTATTTAAAAGTAATCTTTCAAGAAAAGAAACAAAAAGTAAGAGGCTACCAATCCTCAAACAAAGGGCCAACAAAGTTCGGGTTTTGTTTTTTTTTAAGGCATAAAACTGTAGAAAAATTTCTGCAAGTTCTCAGGCTGTCAACATGTGTGTCAGAGGGAGGACCCTGTGGAATAGGGAGCAAATACCAAATGAATTCTAGTGGCCTCTGGGCAGTACCTTGTTTCTACCACAATGGCTTGTTAAACTTGCCAAAGCAAGCAAGGTCAGGATATGGCACTTTACAACTACTCTCATAATTGAAGAGGAGGAGAGGGAGCAACCCAGAAGAGTATTGAGTTTCAAGGGGTCTAGAATAAAATTCTCCATTCTTCTTTAGCTATAAGAAAGAAGAAAAACATCAAGCTCTTTTGTATGCCATTCATTTAGGAGTCAGACATGAAAAGTGCTCAGTTCAAAACTTTGGATTGCCTGCATGTGCTCTAGGGTACTTGTACACAGAATGCTGCACTAAGCTTAACCATCTGGGGCCAGTTAGTTTAGCTAGGCAGAGCACGGTGCTAATGAGGTCAAGGTCACAGGCTTGATCCATATACAGCCTAATTGGCTTTGCTCCATTTCATGGCCATAGACCATACCCTGACCCCAGACAGCCATCTTGCGTATGTGCCCTAGTTGTTTACATGAGGGGCTTTCTGTGCTAGTCACACACTGCATTGCTCACCAGAAGCAACTCAAAAAGCAAATGTTCTCTGGTAGTAGGTCAGTGACATCATAATCGTATTTGGGGGCAAGAGGGAACATAGACCTTTAATAGGAATGATGGCTAATTTGTAAATATTTGCAACGAATAATGTATAACCATTCCTTCTTTCCTACTTTATAACTTTTCAGAAGCTTCTATTGGTATATCATCCTAGGTTTTTGCCCTTTAGCTCACAAGTTTAATTAGAAAGCTTTATATTTTAGTCTTACAGTGAGCTAATGAAATTCAATAGTGAATTTCTCATAACTAAATCTAAGATTCACTATAGGTTAGGCCCTTTGATACACATTAATTCTTCCCCAAAATTTGGGAACTTTGATCTATATACTTAAATTTAAACCATTAATTCCCTTCTTAATAACAATGACTTATGACTGCCTTGTGTTTATAAATAGTGGAAGAGTACCTTGCCAGGGATGGAAAGAAAGTCCTCTCACTTGTTATCTGAGTTAAGAAAATGTGGTTTCTCTAAGCCATCTTTAGAGGCTTACATTGAAAGAGATGAATGTCTTTTCTTCATGACTTCAAGAAAAAGGATTAGATGGTTTTCATTTCAATACCTGTTTTGTCTCAACACTCACATGACCTTGAGTGGAGAAGCTACCAGTCCCTTACCAAAAAATATCCAAGTTCTAAAATGGAGAAGTTATGGAATCGAATGGAATTTGGAGAAGTTATTTAACCTTATCAACTATAATACAAAGAAAGGGAACTATATAATCTCTAAGGTGCCCTCTTGCTTTAAAATTCTATGACAACATGTGAATTCGCTTCCTAAAAACTTACCAAAAGTTGCTTTTTCTTTTGACGGTAATTTAGCACATAATATCAAGTGAAGTCATAACACACTAGGGAAAAATTAATCTTTCATATTCAGAAAATGAGATGTGTTTGGTTTTAATTTTATGGCTAAATTCAGGCCAATTCTTGTGTCTTCCAAACCCATTAATTCCTACAAGAACTCTGTCCATGGTGCTGATTATACAGATTACAGACTGAAGGCTCTGGAGACAGCAGTAGTTCTGAATCAACAAGATTACAGTCTGGGGTGTTAGAAGAAGTAGATGGTGACTAAGATCTTCTGAGCAAGAAAAAGAACAGAGTCATACAATACTAATATAACTAAGAAGATGGAAATTGAGATTAAAACTGAAAAGGACACTACAAAGGAAGGAAAATGTAGTGAAAAGGAAGAAACTGACTTGAGGAATGGGGAGAAGGTGAAAAAAATTCACAAAGGGAAAACTCTATTTGTATGTTTCTGAGTTGTTCCAGAATTACTTGAGCAGAGTTACATGTAGCAATATCAAAGGCTGAGGCAACCCAATACAGAAGCAATGAATAACTTTTCTAAACCTAAACAAAGGGATATGACTAAAGAACAAACTGTATACGTATGCACTGGGAATATTTGGACAAATCCAGGTATCAAGTGAATTTGTGAAGGCAGAGATGGGGAAAAGAAAATATTGTAGAACAAATCATGAAATGAGGTCACAGGAGAGCTGTGAAAAAGGTGTTGGGGTAAACTGAATTCACTGAAGTGCAGGGAACAAGGGAATGATATCAGAGACAAAAATGGCTGGAAGACACAGACTCAACAGTAGTCAGTGAAAACCTCAAATAAAAACTGGAAAATCCTATAAGCAAACAAAAAAATGTAATATTTCCCCCTCTCTCCAAACCACCCCCCTTGCCCAAAACTAAGAAGAATAAAGGGGCACCTGGGTGGTTTAGTCGGTTAAGGGGCTGAGTCTTGATTTCAGCTCAGTTCATGATCTCACAGTTTTGTGAGTTTGAGCCCCACATCAGTATAGAGCCTGCTTGGGATTCTCTTTCTCTCTCTCTCTCTCCCTCTCCCTCTCCTCTCTCCCTCTCCCTCTCCTCTCTCCCTCTCCCTCTCCTCTCTCCCTCTTCCCCTCTCCCTCCTCCACTCACATGTTCCCCCCCTTTCTGTCTCCCTTTTGAAATAAATAAACATTTTTCAAAAAGAAGAATAAAAAACTTTTTCCTTGAACTGATCTGGTTCCTCCTAAGTTGTAACATCTCAAAATATAAAACAGAAGTAGGGGCGCCTGGGTGGCTTAGTCGGTTAAGCGTCCGACTTTCGCTTAGGTCATGATCTCGCGGTTCGTGGGTTCGAGCCCCGCATCGGGCTCTGTGCTGACTGCCAGCTCAGAGCCTGGAGCCTGTTTCAGAGTCTGTGACTCCCTCTCTCTCTGACCCTCCCCTGCTCTCGCTGTCTCTCTCTCTCTCTCCTAGAAATAAATAAAACATAAAAAAAATATTTAAAAAAAAATATAAAACAGAAGTAGACTGAAAGCCAAGCAACAAAATAGAAATGGTATTGAAAATAATTTCCCTTCAGAGGTGCTTCTCCTAAGGTGCTTTTTAAAGGTTTTATTCACTACTAAACCTTAGAGAAGGAAGAAGGTTCTAAAGGAGAAATAAAATGAACAAGACGTCAGGTTCAGTTTGACTTCATGCTTTTGTGATGTCTTATTGCATTGGAACGTTTCTCTACATGCATTCAAATATTCTTTTACTTTAAATGCCAACATTCATGAGACAGCTTATGATCAATTGGGTGGGTCTTTTTGGTCCCCAGACTGGCTTTGAAAATATGAAAGCTGCATAATTGTTTTAACTTTAATTAACTATTCCTATATACTCAAAAACTTAGTCTAAATTTATTTTTAGTTAAATTATTCTCAGTTTTAGTCCAAGGAGCAAAAATTACAACCATTTCTTGACAGTGCAGAATTATAAATAGGTAAGACCATTGTTTTAGAACCAGACAGATTTGTGTGAAATTCTGGAGCTTCCCTTTATTCCCATATGAACTTGGTCAAGTTATTAACTTCTTTAAGCCTTTTCATCCTCATCTATGTATGGGATTATAATATGTCGAAATAACATATGTTGAGTATCCAGCACAAAACAGATACATAAATATGGAAAACTGTAAGATGCCAATGAAGGAATAGCTTAATAAAAAGCATTTATTTTAAGAGAAACCGTATTTTAAAAACTTTTATCTTCCTACATAAATAGTTTTGCAAAAGTTTCCACCGGGTCACCATTCAAACTTTGTAAGAATTCCAAGCCAACAATAAAACATACAGATCAATAAGCAGGGCTCAGTCATGTACCAAGCTCAGTTCTTACCAAAAACAAATTTCTTATAAAAACATCTGGCTGCTTTAAATGCCTTAGAAGATGCAAGCTGTTGTTTGGGGAGCAAACTTTTTCTCTTGAAAACATTGGATGGTGAAGTTAATACTTGCTTTGGAAATCTACCGTTTGGCCCTTATGTACCATGGATCTCTGGTATGAGCTAAAATACATTTGGAGGCAGAAAATGTTTGGGAGCATAGAGGTGATTCAGAGGTTGGAATGGCCCTTGGAGGAAAATAGCAAAATCACAGTAAACACAAGATCACTTTACCAAGATGCAGAAAAGTGAGTACAAGTTGCTTTGGCTTTGCCAGTGTTCCCTACCACAAATAAGGAGAAAGAAAAATGTAACAGCTCCTACTGTTTTTACTCCATTCCTGGAAGCTGGTCATTCAAAGGAACTTGTCCTTACCTGCCTGCTTTGGTGATGATCATCTCGGTTCCAATGTCATGGAACCTCTTCCATAGGTCAGCACATTGTAGCTCCACCTGAATCTCTTCCATGGAAGACATGGCAGCAGGCACAGGGCCCGCAGCCCCAGGGCCCAGGTCAGTGTGAGTGTCAAAGGAGCAGGAAGTCCGCTCAGTGAGCACCTCAGAGTCTGAACCAGTGCTTTGCTCGGAATCTGCAAAATAAACAGTCAAGCCTTAGGTGAGAAACTGCAAAGCTGCCCCCCTGCCCATCTTCCTAAAAGATAGGAGATTGGATGGGGGCATGGAGTAAAGGTGGGGTGGTGTGAACAAAAGGAGACTTAAAGCTGGGAAGCTCCAGCGCACAGCGTATTTTATTATTTTCTTTTTTATGGTTTGTTTTTGTGATTTATGACCATCTTTTAGGTTTCATGTTTCCAACATGACATCTGGCATTTTAGTAAGTTTTAGCAACAGTTGAAGAAAAATAGTCCACAACAGGCAATATAAAGAGTACCAATGTCAGCATGGTGAAGGGAATGAAGTCAAACTGAAACAACAGTAAAAATGCCAAATTAAAAAAAAAATAATTACAGACCACAGAGCTCCAAATCTAGATAATTTCACTTGGAGGGGAGGGAAGTTCAATGCCAACAGTAACATGTTCTTTAATTTCACACCACTCAGCATCACTGCCCATCAGGCAGTTATTTTTAAACACAGCCATTTTTTTTCTCTTATTTATATATCCTGGCCATCAAAAGTAATGAAAAGTTGTTTGAGACCTTTAGAAGCACTTTGTCATATATTTGAGTGAATGGTTTTTCCTAAGAGTCCAATCAGGCCATTTTGGATGAAAAATGAAAAAAAAAAAAGTCTGTTGTAAGGCAAGGATATACGCATATGGAAAAAGTTACCCAAGAAGGCGGTTGAAACAAAGGGAATAAATGAGTTCAGGAGACACCTTGATTGGTTTCTGAAGTATGAGCAGAGAGGAGGGGTGATCCAAACAGGAAGGCAGGATTGAGAGCAACCAAATAAAAAGCTGGCATGCTGTGCCAGATGGTCCTTTCTTCCTGTGTCTTCTGTACTCATGAAGGGGTTGCAGGCGGGGGGGGCATGAAGAGTGATGGAGAAGGCTGGAGTCAGATTTACCAGGGAGTTTGCTATAATTTTTAAAGCTTTAAAGTCCCAATGCCAAGAATGGTATCTCCTAAGACTTTCCAAACTCAGATTAGCTGGTACAATCTTCTTAGGTCAAATACCACAAGCTAAGCCTGGGAACCTATTTCTCCAACCCACCCTTAACATCTAGGATTCTGACTGCTTCCCCTGTAAATAAACACATACACTGCTGTTGGAAACAGCAGTGTCTTAGTATGACAACTGACTGTTCACTGATGTCAAAGGTCAAGGCCTCCTGGGCATCAGTCCTCGACATGAGCAGGATGAAGAAGGATGGGATAGAAAGTCAGACCACCTTGCAGCATCCTCACTTACCTGCAGCAGGTTTCTAGGCCTGTGAAAAACCATCCCATGAGACCCTGCCTTTTCTTTCCTTCTAGCCTGTTTCTCTCTCAAACCCACACAGCATTGCTGGCAAGAGTCTCCCACAATGCCGCTGGCACCCACAAGGAGCAAAGTGCCATTTCTCTCCATCCTCCTCAGGCCATCACCCTTCACTTCTGAAGACATTCAGGGTACTGCAGAACTGAACCAAGCTTTGGTTAGAGGAAACTCTGCCCCAAACCTAGTTTATCCCTGCTCACTAGTAAAGTCACCATCTTCACGAAAAAAAAAAGTTTTCTATCTAGGTTTTATATGTCTAAGCACATCATGTTACACTTGGAGGTAAACAGGTGCTAATTTTGATCTCCTTCAAGTACAGAAAAGTGGAGCTACTTATCTAAGACAGGAGCTGCTGCTGAGTGACAAATCTCTGCCCCCTACCCCCCGATTCTATATGCCTTTCCACTGCAGAGCCATCACATCATCTCACACACGCTGTCACACACAGTAATTCAGATCCCCCAAATCACAGGTTCCCAAATCCCATCGTTTCTGTGATAATGCCAAGAGCTCCTCACTTATCACAAGTATTGTGAACTTTTAAAAAACGTCTCAGGGGCGCCTGGGTGGCTTAGTCGGTTAAGCGTCCGACTTTCACTTAGGTCATGATCTCGCGGTTCGTGGGTTTGAGCCCCGCGTCAGGCTCTGTGCTGACTGCCAGCTCAGAGCCTGGAGCCTATTTCAGAGTCTGTGTCTCCCTCTCTCTCTGACCCTCCTCTGCTCACACTGTCTCTCTTTCTCCTAGAAATAAATAAAAATATTAAAAACAAAAACAAAAACAAAAAAATGCCTCAAAGCAAGAATTTTTTAAAAATAGGCTTGTCCTATCCTTGGGAACAAAGTGGTATGAAATCCCCTTACCACAACGTGCTCCAATTATGAATAAGTTGGTATTTTGGACATATGATATCTCTAATAAGTATTTAGCAAGAGGGAGGGGAGGGAAAGATACCACTGCACTAAACGATAACTTTTTAATGGTGACCACATTGGAGTTTGGGATTGGAATGGGGCTATAGCTGGAGAATTAGGAAGCCAGAGACTCTGCTCTTATCTCCCTGTGTCATCTGGAATAAAATGGGAGCTCAAAGTGTAACATTAAATGAACTAATAAGTCACCTTGGACAAGTCACTTAACTACAATGGATCTATTTCCTTATCATGTATTTAGAAAGACTGAGCTAAAAACTTTTATAATCTCTTCCACCTCTAATGACTTGAAGAATGTCAGAATCCCTTCTAATGTAGCTTTCAGTGATAACTCAGGCTACCTCAATTAGAAGCATAAAATGAAAACTGCTTGGGCAAGACAAGTTAAGTGAGGAAAAAGACTAGGGGCTCAGATTATCACAGAAGTTAAAAAATTCAGTGGGTCTTCTGTTTATAGTTTCAATCAAATCAATCAATAAGCACCTATCAGCATGTGGCCCTATATGAGGTACCGTGTAGATAATTTGAAACAGAGCCCCAGACCTTGAGAAGTTTCCCACTTAGTGTTGATTAATTATGTGTTTATTGGGTGCTTACTATGTGCCCAGCACTGTGCTAGATTCTGGAAAATACCAAAGTATGGGACAGGGCTCCTCCTAAAGGTATTTACAGTACAAGTGGAAACTAAGCACATTCACACACAGTCAGAGACCAAGACAAATAGTACCAGGCAGTTTTCTGCCTTGCATGTCTCATAGGAATCCAGAAAAGAGGGGATCTGAGAGGGCTAGAACATCCCTGGGGAACTCATGCTTACTAGAAAAGAAATGGACAAGATGTGGAGACATAGGCAGTATTTGCCCATGAAGATAATTTTCAGATACATTATTTTTTTCAGAAATACTCTGTGCTCCTAATTATCACTCCCTCATAAAAGAGAGTCAAAGCGACTTTTATACACAGAATACAGGCACCAGCCCACATTTTCAATAATATAAATTAAGCTACCCTATAATACTCTTGAAACAGGAATCTCAGAGTAAAGATCAACGCCTTACATAAAAATAAAATTTGATTCTTTGTAAAATACACTCTAAATCATAGCTATATAAAATATTTAGGCTAACCACATCAGTTACTTTAGCTATTAATCAGAATGTAACTAAAATCAAGTTAATTAAGTCATGATTGTAAGAAATGCAGAACAGGTTATTTCAAATAGGGTCACCATGAAAATACAATCAGTCCTGTGATTATCAGAAAACACTTCCATGTTTTCAAGTTGTGTTTTTTTAATTCTCAGCAATTTGTGACTTCCCGCCTTCAAAAAATAACCATTAGGAATGCATTTGAATGGCCTGGAAAGACTTCTTGGCTGTCAGATGTTTGTTATGGATGATATTTTAACAAGGGACATTTCAGCCAATCAGGAACCTAAATGATAATGTTATACCTAACTAAGGAAGTTAAAAAAGTCTTTGGTAGTTTACATGATGCCAGTTACAAGTCACTGGAGAACATCATCTGATTTATACGGTCAAACTAACATATCTATTATCATCTAAAAAAATCCCTACAAAAGAGATTCTAATCATCAGATCATGGCGTCACTTGCTTTCTCTCTCTGACCTATTTCGTGTTGATAAAATGGATATTGTGACACTAAGTTCTCAGAGATGGTTGAGTTTAGGGAAACAAATCACAAGAGCCTCTTGATAAAGAACAAACTGTGGATTGACAGAGGAAGGTAGGTGGGAGATGGGCTAGATAGGAGATAGGTACTAGGGAGGGCACTTGTTGAAGTGCTGAATTCTACTCCTGAAACCAATATCTCATTGTATGTTAACTAACTAAAATTTAAATTAAAAAAAAATAAATAAAAAGCTTTCAGAAAAAAAGAAAGCTACAGCAAGTTCAATTCTCAATTCATGCAAAATAATAGCAATAATAAAATAGTTTAATTTACATTTTATACATTATTTAATATATCCTTCCATTTGATGAAATAGAAATGGCGTATTTTTATGTCCATTATCTAGATGAGGGACTTGAGGCTAAGAAAAATTTTAAAAAACCATAGCCTAGAAATTAGGTCTTCCGCCTCCTGATCCAATGATCAGGTCTCTCCCAAGATATTAGGTTCAACCCTGGCCAAAACAGCCAACAATTCTGAAACAACCCTCAACTAGTGTAACAATCCTTACAAATGAAATGGCTTAATATGCTTGATCCCGGCAACTCACATGACTATTCTGGCCCTCATCTTCCTCAATCGTTTTATCACAGCACATGCACATTTAATTAGAGGTGCTATAAAGTCCCTTTTAAGTCTACTGAATAATGGGTGGATTAGTAGTGCAGTTTAAAGATCACCAGGTCTAACAACAGCAACTCAACCATGATGAGTTGAGTTGGTTGACATGTATAGAAAATGCCTAAATCATGTGTATTTTGACTTCATATCAAAACCAGACATTATTAAAACATATGTCACAGTCTTCAAGGTGATTTTCATCTCCATTTAACTAATAATTTGAAGAACAATTTATTACTAGTGAACAGAGCACATTTATTCCTGGGACTCCACTACTCACCATGCGTGGGGTCTTGGAAAGTCACTTTATTTCATGGAGGCTCAGTTTCCTTATCTTCACTATTTACTTACCTTTATCTATTAGTATTTCCTTATCTTTACTATTAGGATCTTGGGGAAGAT